AGGTTTAAGCAGAGAAATGATCTGATGTATATTTAAATATATTTAAACAGGATCACACCGGCTGCTGTATTGAGAATAGACTGCATGGGGGAGGGACAAAGAAGGGAAACCAGTTAGGAAGCGACTAAAATTATCCAGCTGAGAGGTGGTTTGGACAAAGATGGTGGCCATGGAGGTGATGAAAAGTAGGTGAATACAATACATTTTTTAGGGTAAAGCTGACAAGATTTTCTGATGGGTTGAATGTGGGGTGTGATAGGCATGAGGAATTATACCACAATGTTTAGTCTGATCAGTTGGGAAATACAGTTGCCATTAACGGAGACGGGGAGAATACCAGGAGCTTAGTTGTATCATGATACCTTTTAGATCTCCAAATGCAGAAGTCAAGTAGGTAGTTGGATGTACAGTTTTTGGAGGCCAGAGGAAGGTACTAACTGGAGATACATATTTCAGAGGCATTAGCTATTAGATGGAATTTAAAGTCATGCAAATGGATGAGATCATCCAGTGCATGAACACAGAAAAGAGAAGCACCCAAGGACTGGGCCCTGAAACACTCGAGCATTTAGCAGAAAGGGAAATGGAGAAGAACCAATAAGAGACTGAGGAATGGTCAGAAAGATTGTGGGGGAAGGGGCAAAGAACGGGTGAGTGTGGTATCATGAAAGCCAAGAGAAGAATATATTTCAAAAGACAGAGTGATCAACTGTGTTGCGTGCTGCTGATTGGTCAAGGAGGGTGAGGCCTGAGAAATCACCATGGATTTAACAGTGAAGAGGTCACTGGTTTTCTTGAGAAAAACAGAGATTACATGTTGGTATTCCATCAACATTTTATCATTTTAAATGTATTTCATAGTCAGTTGAGTTTGAGTAATGCCATAAGGGGCATAAAGCTCCCTAGCACCCTAAGAAGTGGAGCAGCACCTGGAGAGTCCTCAGCAGATATAAAGCATATACCAGAGTGATCTTTTTAAAAGGTATAAATCAGAGAAAATTATTCCCTTGCTCTAATGACTTCCTGTTTGCACCTGAAATGAAATCCAAACTCTTTGAAATATCAGGCACCTCAGAGCTTAATCTTGAGTTCTCATCTTTTCTTTCTCTACAATCTTTCCCCAGGTGATGTCTCAGTACCCATGGATTTAAGTGCCACCTTTAGACTGATGACTCCCAAATGTATATCTTTAACTCAGACCTCGCCGTAAGCTCCACACTCACACATCCCATTGCTTACTTAATGTCCTCACTTGAGTGTGACGTGATAAAAATTTAACATGACCAAGACAGAACTATTTTCTCCCCCAAAATTGTTCCTTTGCCATCCCTGGTCTTCTCTATCTTTCACCTGTTGGTAAATGGCCAGTGTGAACAATGAGAAGAGTAGATGTCAGGGAGCTGTCTGGGCCAATTAGGTAGGACCTAGTAGATCATTTAAGGAATCATTCATATTCTGAGTGAGATGGACTGACCACCTTGACTGGCCAGAAACTTCATTCCTTTCTTTCCAGACCCACTCACATTACCTCCACCCCTACCCTTTCCATCAAAAGTTATCAACAAGCCCTGGTGATTTTATCTCCAACCTATATCTCAGTTCTGCCTTCTTCTTTCCATTGCCAACACCATCACCTAGTCTAGGAGCCATCACCTCTCTCCTCAACTACAGGCATAGTCCGTCTCCCAATTGGTTTCTCCACTTCCACTCTTACTCCCCTCAATCCATTCTTCACATCCAGGCTAAACTAATCTGAAAACAAATCAGATCATGTCATGTCTCTGGTTAAACTCTTTCAATGACCCTCTACCATGCTAAGAATAAAATGCAACCCCTTACAATGGCCGACAAGGTCCTGCATCAATAGTCCCTATTTATTTCCAATTTCACATCATACTACTCTCTCCCTTACCCACTATGCTCCAGCCATGCTGGTCTCAACCATGCCATGTTCTTTCCCATTTCTGGGCCTTAGAATATACTGTCCCCTCTACCTGGTCATTCTTACCTCACTCTTCATATCACCAGAGTTTTCCCTTCCCTAGAGTCAACTGAATATTATCTTTTCAGAAAAGTCTTTCCTGATCTCCCTACCTAAAAGAGGCCCTCTCTGTTATTCATTATGTCATCTCCTTGTCTATTTTCTTGTGTAGTATTTTTACAGCTTGCAATAATATTACAGGTTTCTTTTAAAAATCTGTTTTTTCCACTATATTACAAGCTCCATTGCACAGGATCTGGGTCTATCTGACCCTCAGTTTCTAGAATCCTGCTGGGCATGAAGGAAACAATAAATATTTGCATGATTTGGGGGCGGTCTCTTCTGTTTTGGATACCCAAATGACCCATTTTGTCATTGTTTGCTTTTTTTCTGTGTTAAATTTTTGTCTCAACTCACCTGGATCTGAGGTTCTCAGATGAATATTAGGTTTACGAAGCAACCAGGCTGGGAGACCCCCCTAAGACAAACACAAAGACCACAAAGAAGCATGTGGGTTTTGTTGTCTGGGAGTGGAGTAGGAGAGGTAAAAAGGGAGGAAGTTGAGTATAGTGCTGGGAGTCACCCTAGAGTGTGGGCAGAAGGGAGTAGCCTAGGAACCCCACGTGGGTGGCTTTAGTTCTAGCCCTTCTCCAACTAACTCACCATATCCCATTCTGCGCAGATGTAAGGTCCTGGTCTCAGTATGACCAACAGGTTTGCTATAGTTGCCTCATTCAGAAATGCAATGAGATCCCGGCTGCCATTAAAGTTATAGACCCCAGGCTCTGGCTCATGGTAGTTCCAGGGTACATAACTGAGAAAGGAAGAGGTTAACAGGGCCCAAGGTGGGCATCGGGGGAGATGCCCAGGAGGCTTAAGGGCTCAGGCCTTGCAGGGTTATCTCCAGGAAGGAGGTCCTGGCCCACCTTTTCCCTCCCTTGGCCTGGAAGCCCTGGAGCTCTAACCCCTCATCATACCCAGCCAGTCTTCCTGTCCCGACATCCTTCTTAAGGGGGTGGCAGAAGGAGTAAATCCCACCCCTCCATGGCTCTCTTGAGCACTTCTTACAACTGAACGGCGTTGAGGCCACTCATTCGCATCTTGAAAAGCCGGTCTGCCCAAAGCACCCGCGGTACCCGAAAGTAGTGCAGGCTGCCAGATATGTAGCGGAAAGGAACCCCATCCAGGAGGAATCTGTCATGACCCCGATCCACTACGAAAGACCGAGTATCTGCCTGCAAAGGGAGAGACCGTGCTTAGCAGAGGTCTGGAGTTGGGGGGTGGAGGTCAGCGGCTGCCAAGAGCACAGGAGTTGGAACTAGCCCTGCCCACTGTTTTATTTTCACTCGCTCTCCTACGCCAGATCTGATCCGGCCTCGCCCCACCCAGCTGGCTGGTTCAATCCTCTTATCTTACCTGGGACAGCAGCAGCGTCAGGAGTGGCAGCAGCAGGGAGGGAAGGCAGAGCCTCTTCTTGGGAGCCATGGCGCTTACAGGTCTCCTAGAGTCAGAGACGGCGGTCTAACTGTCACGTGGCGGATTCCTGGGAGGGAACCTCAGCGAGCAAGAGGGGCGGAGACCACCCCAAGTTGCCAAGCGATTAGCCTGGACTTTGTCTGCCGCTACTCTACTAGTCTGTAAAATCCTTTACACCTTGAACCAGCTTCATCAGCATCACCTGGGAGCTTGTTAGAAATGCAGAATCACAGGTCCTACCTCAGACCTATAGAATCAGAATTTGTATTTTAACAAGATTCCCCGGCGATCCTAAGCACGTTCAAGCCTGAGAAGCAGTGCTCTACTAGACTGAGCTTCCCAAGGGCGGAGAGTGCCGTGTCCACCAAATCCTCAGCTGCTAGCACCGGGCGGCACATAGCAGGTTAAATCTAGATGAATGTCAGAACCAAGGGTCTAAGACAGGTTCAGAACCAAGGGAAACTTAGGGAGATCTTCCCAGTGATGTGAAGGGGGTGGGGGCAGGTTATAAAAGGGATCTTTTTCCTGGAGAGCCCTATTTCAACCAAGAAAAAAAAAAAAACATCCAGGCCATTCCATCTTCTATGGATGTGCACCCCTTTCCAATTTTTCCCTGCCTCCCTGGGCAACTGAACAAAGAAAAAGGCAACTTCTTGACTGAAGATAAAATCTTTCAGCTGTTGCTGGGCATGTCTACAACTGCTGCTTCATGCCAAGGCCTGGGGATTTGTGAAATTTCCATTACTCCTGCCTTCACGGTCCCAAGCCTGGGATGTGAGAACCAGGGTAATAATAATAAGTATTAACATAATTATTACTTGTTTATTGACACTTACTAAGGACTATGCGTCAGATATTGTGCAAGGCACTTTACATATCATTTAACCTTCAAACAACTCCATAAGGTAGATAATTACAATTTGCATTTTACAGATGAGGAAATTGAGGGACACAAATGTTAAGTAGCTTGTCCAAGGTCACACAACTAGTTTAGTAGAGCTGGGATTTGAACTAGTCAGTCTGGCCTCACAGTTCATGTACTTAACCTTAGGTGCCAGTATATGTATTTTGCAGTTAGGGAAAGTGAGACTCCGAGAGATTAAATAACATGTCCGAGGTCACAGATAGTAGGCTATTAAGGCCGGATTTAGACTCTAGACTGCTTCAAGAACCTAGCTCTTAAGCACTGAGACTAGGGATACAGGCCAGAATCCCCAAAGTTGTACTGATCAGAGCTCCCCGGGTCCAGGCTGCCAGCACACGCCCCTCCCTGCGTCCTCCCATCCACCCCCGGGCTGGGCTGTAATCGGCCACCCAGAGCTCCGGAGGTACGAGGCCTCCTACCTCGGGCATTGGGAAATGGAGGTCCTGGGGGCCTCGGGCCGAGCCCGGCTTTGCTCCCCCTTGGCGTAGGTGCCTGCGTCCTGACGCCTACTGAAGGCCACGTGTGGAACCTTCACCGGGGTCCTGGGACCCGTCCTTCCGCGGGTCTAGCCCGCCCCACGCCTGTCAGCTCCTCGCCCCCACATCGTCCGGAAGCCAGGCCGTTGCTAAGATACCGCGGGCCGTTACGCCGGCGCGGAATGATGATGAAACCACTGCTTCCGGTCCTTGGCGCTTCTCTCCCGCCTGAGCCAGGTCGGTGGGGAAGCGGTGCTGGCCTACTTGCGGTCTACGCGCGGAGGCCGGCGGGGTGGGCTCTGCAAGGGGTGGGCCCGAGCCTCGCACCCCCTCGGAACTGCCCTACGCCCTGCCTTTGCGGCCCCACAGGCGTGGGAGCCCGAGCCGCTTAAAGGTGGAGGAAGCGGTCTGGTACTCGCTGCGAGGCCTGAGGTTCTGCGGCATCTGATCCCAGCCTCCTTGGCGTTGGTGTAGCCAGGACTCGTTTTCTCTAGGTTCCGAGACCTGGGCCTGAGCTCCCCACATTGGTACTTCCGGAGTCGTCTGGATTGTGTCCGACCCGCCACCCTGCTGTTCTTTTCCTTCCGGTATGATCCGCTGGGCCCCCAGTGCATCGCCTGGAAGAGCCCTCTCAACCTGAATGAACCCTTTGGCAGCCTCAGACCGTCCTTGAGGAGGATGACTGAGACACTATGGGCCACGCGCTGTGTGTCTGCTCTCGGGGAACTGTCACCATTGACAATAAGCGCTACCTCTTCATCCAGAAACTGGGGGAGGGGTGAGTGTTTGGAAATAACTTAGCTAGTCCCCAGGGTTGTGGTGATTGAACGACAGCAGTCTGCACATGATAGGGGCACAAAGGTTTTATCCTGTAACCTATCCTTTAACTCTCCTGACAGAGCCTAGTGACATGCTAGTCAAGAACGTAGATTCTGGAGCCAGGCCTCCTAGATCCACCTTGTATGACTTTGATAAGACATGGTTTCTTCATCTGCTTAATGGAGATAATTACTGTCTTGCATCACTGATGGAGCTGTGAGGATTAAATGAGAAAATGCATATAAAATGTCTCGCCAGTGCCTGGTTCACAGCACTTGATAAATGTTGACTATTACTCATTTAATGTTTATGGAGCCTCTGTCATGTGCAGAGCATCGGGTTATGACCATAGAACCTCAAAGATTACGATGTCCCAGCTCTTGAGCTTAAAATGTAATGGTCTTCAGACTTCTCTGAGAGCCACACCTTGGGAGGGTTTCTACTAAATGGGAAAGACACCCCCCTCTACTCCCCAGGGACTTCCTCTGGGTCTAAGCAGTGTGGGAGATGACCGTGGCCCTTCACTGACCCCTTTGGCCCACAGTGGGTTCAGCTATGTGGACCTAGTGGAGGGGTTACATGATGGACGCTTCTACGCCCTGAAGCGAATCCTGTGTCACGAGCAGCAGGACCAGGAGGAGGCCCAGCGAGAAGCAGATATGCATCGCCTCTTCCGTCACCCCAACATCCTTCACCTCGTGGCTTATTGTCTGAGGGAGCGGGGAACTAAACATGAGGCCTGGCTGCTGCTACCTTTCTTCAAGGTCAGAAAGTCTCCTGGCTATGTTGGGGTTTGCAACAGAGCCACCTACCAAGAGCTGTGTGAGCAGTCAAGTATGTTAGGAAGCAGAGACCGTGTCCCGGGTTTGACCACTTCAGATTTGGGGCTTAAAGGAATCCAAGTGGGACTGTGGGTTATGAGGTGTGTATAGTGGAAATGTTGATAGGCTTTTGACATTGGGAAGGGATCAGACTTAGGGAGCAGAGGCTCGGAAAACACCAGCTGTGGGGATACTTGTGTTGCAGAGAGGTACGCTGTGGAATGAGATAGAAAGGCTGAAAGACAAAGGCAACTTCTTGACTGAAGATCAAATCCTTCAGCTGCTGCTGGGTATCTGCAGAGGACTTGAGGCCATTCATGCCCAGGGTTATGCCCACAGGTCAGTGGGAAGGCCCTGTGTACTTCCTGGGGCAGAAAGAAAGAGCCCTGCCAAGAGAAATGAGAGGTCTGCTTTCCCCCCGGGGAACAGCCTCCATGATTCTTTTGCCTCCAGGGATTCCAGCCTCCCTGTCTAGGGATGTTCATGGGTCATTTCTACTTGCCAACAGGGACCTGAAGCCCACCAATATCTTGCTTGGAGATGAGGGGCAGCCAGTTTTAATGGACTTGGGTTCCATGAATCAAGCATGCATCCATGTGGAGGGTTCCCGCCAGGCTCTGGCCCTGCAGGTGAGAGTCTTTAGGTTCTTTTGCCCATCTGTTCCCCAACCCTGACCCCTTCTGGTGTATGCCCCAATTTGGTCACATGACCATGACCTATGCCCCACTTTTGAGCTCTGAGCCCACTGTTCCAGGACTGGGCAGCCCAGCGGTGCACCATCTCCTACCGGGCCCCGGAGCTCTTCTCCGTGCAGAGCCACTGTGTCATCGATGAGCGGACTGATGTCTGGGTGAGGAGCATGTGGGTGGGGAGGAATGCTGCTCTGTACCAGCTGTAGAGTAGAGGAGCAGGTCTTTGGTTTCTCGTGCACAGGGGCCCCAGGAACCATGTATGTCCCCATCCCCCTCGACTTCCTTCCTGGGAACTGTCACTGACACTACTCAATTGCTCAGGAAGTGGTATAACCCTGCCCTTTGAACAGGGTTGGTACAGCTAAGTGTCAGGTCTGAAGGCAGTGGCTAAGTAAGGGGTGCAGAGGCCTCCAGCTAACTGGCAGTTGCTCTGGGCCCTGGTGGTGTCATGTGGCTGTTGGCACAATCCTTTTAGCTTATGTAGACTCATTTCACTACAGAATTAAAAGGAGAGATATCACCTCCATTGGTTCCCTTCCATACAGTAACTGAGTTATGCTCAGTCCCTAGGCTGTGTGCTATACGCCATGATGTTTGGGGAAGGCCCTTATGACATGGTGTTCCAGAAGGGTGACAGTGTAGCCCTCGCTGTGCAGAACCAACTCAGCATCCCACAAAGTCCCAGGTAAGCAGTAGAAGGGGCACCATGCATTTCAGACTCTCTTTGACATTAGGAGATGGAGCCTTGGCATGGGGGATGGGTGCCCCCCCCCTCCCGTCACCCTGCCCGCCTCTCTCCACAGGCATTCTTCAGCAATGCGGCAGCTGCTGGCCTCCATGATGACTGTGGACCCCCAGCAGCGCCCTCACATTCCTCTTCTCCTCAGTCAGTTGGAGGCACTGCAACCCCCGGCTCCAGGCCAGCACACTACCCAAATCTGAACAGACCAGTGGCTCATTGAGAAGGTGGCCCCTGTGCCTCGGAAAGAGACCTCTGTCCCTTACTGGAATCTCTGTTTTTTCTATCCAGGCCTGCTCTCTTGTAGTTGGGGGCAGGCAAGGTGGGGAGAGTTAGCTCAGTCTTCTATCTCTGCTCCCCAAGAACAAGAACGGGGAGCCTGAGTTGGGATGGGTGAGGGTGGGGGATGGGGAAAGGGAAACTGATCGAATCTGGTAAAGGCTCTGAGCAGGACTGCTGAGCTTACATCATGGTCTGCCTCCAAATCTGGGAGCAGGAGAATGTATAAATAGAATAAAGGGAAAGCAGCTTGGTGTGGATCTTAGTCTCGTCGTTCCTGGAGTGAGAGAAGAGGTGCAATGGGCCCAAAGTCTGGTTGCCATTTCCAAGGGAAGAGCCTGGGAAGAAGAGGGACTGGCATAGAGTCAGGAATGGCGTGACTTCATCATTCCACGTCAGGAGGCAGGAATCCTTACCTTAGATATGGCTGGTTGGCAGTGGGCAAAGTCTTCTAGCTTGTCTTAGTCAAACACTAAAAGGTGCTCTGGCTTGAGTGGGCTTCTATGCCAAGAACTGGGACCAGGGCCCCCTAAAGTCACATTACATTCAACTTGTTCTTTCCTCCCTTCATTCCCTGGGGTGGGGAGCTTAGAGCAGCCTAGCCGGTTTGCCAGGCAGGGTGGAGACACCTGAGGAAGCTTTAAGACAGCTACATAACTGGTCTCCCAGCCTCAGCCTGGGGGCAAAGGGAGTGGAGGTGGCAGCCATTTTGGCCCAGTCTCTCCCGGATGGTTCTAGCTCACATAGTTAATGATTAATGAGAGCAGTGTGGTATGGCAGTATCCAGCTGCCACTTCCTACCTGCTCTGCTGAGTAAACAGGGGCCCTGCCTTAGCTGGGCTTGAAACCTATTCCCCAAGGAAGGGCACTGCGTCCCTGAATCACAGGGAGGGGAGGCAAGGGCAGGGTTGGCATCTCCTGCTCTTGGGATTGAAGCGTCTTGTCCCCAACCATGCCCACTCCCACATGCTGACATCAGTGTGGGTCCTGGGGTGCCTATTAGCAAAACTGAAATTTTCCCCCGGGCCCTGGCAGGAGGCTCCTACCAGCTAGCGCAGAGGCTGAGGCCAGAAAGAAAGCACAAACAGAGGGGAGATGACCTGACTTTTAATGGCACAGCCTTAGGCCCCTGGAAAGCAGCAAAACAGACAGTAAGTTATGCACAGCTGCTGGGAGGTGCAGTAACACAAACAATTCTAGGACATGGCCCGTGTTCCCTCCCATCCCCCAAGCTTATGACTAGGCTCCATGCCCAGGAACTCTGGGCCACCTCAGCCCTCATAACGCACAGAGGTGCCTGGGCCAAGCCTTGCTTCCAGAGTCGGTGAACGCAGAAGCAGCAGGAAGAATAAGGCAGTAGTCTAACTCAAATACAGAAACTGCTGGACTTAAACTCCTACTTGGAAAGGACGTGAAGACTCGTATCCTTCAACAGTTTGTGGCTGGACAGACAGGTCCAGGATTTGGTCCTCATTTCCTCTCTATCCTGGGTCCCCCTAGGATCCTTATATCAAGGTCCCTGGGGACATGTGTCCTGGGCCTGGCAAGGGACGTTTGGCAGGTCTCACCTTCAGCATGGAAGGGAAAAGGGCCATAAGCAGCAAGCAGAGCAGCAGCACAAGCAGCAGCACAAGCGGGAAGGCAGCAGAAGCTCAAGCACTCACAGAGGGAACAAGAAACCGTGCAAGGAGACTGTTTATTTCGAAAGGATTTTGCAATAAACACAGTGAGTGGGCTCCAGGCAGCTGTTCTATTCTTCTCCCTCATCCTCATCCTCATAGGAGTCGATGCCTACTTCCTCGTAATCCTTCTCCAGGGCAGCCATATCCTCCCGGGCCTCGGAGAACTCACCCTCCTCCATGCCCTCGCCCACATACCAATGCACAAACGCCCTCTTGGCATACATCAGGTCGAACTTGTGGTCCAGGCGGGCCCAGGCCTCGGCGATGGCAGTTGTGTTGCTCAGCATGCACACGGCACGCTGCACCTTGGCCAGGTCACCCCCGGGCACCACAGTGGGCGGCTGGTAATTGATACCAACCTTGAAGCCCGTGGGGCACCAGTCCACAAATTGAATACTGCGCTTGGTCTTGATGGCAGCAATGGCAGCATTGACATCCTTGGGCACCACGTCTCCACGGTACAGCAGGCAGCAGGCCATGTATTTGCCATGACGGGGATCACATTTCACCATCTGGTTGGCAGGCTCGAAGCAGGCATTGGTGATCTCAGCCACTGACAGCTGCTCATGGTAGGCCTTCTCTGCAGAGATGACTGGCGCATAGGTGGCCAGGGGGAAGTGGATGCGAGGGTACAGCACCAGGTTGGTCTGGAACTCCGTCAGGTCCACATTGAGGGCCCCGTCGAAGCGCAGGGAAGCTGTGATGGAGGAGACGATCTGGCTGATGAGGCGGTTGAGGTTGGTGTAGGTGGGGCGCTCGATGTCCAGATTGCGGCGGCAGATGTCATAGATGGCTTCGTTGTCCACCATGAAGGCACAGTCTGAGTGCTCCAGGGTGGTGTGGGTGGTCAGGATGGAGTTGTAGGGCTCGACTACAGCTGTGGAAACCTGGGGGGCTGGGTAGATGGAAAACTCCAGCTTGGATTTCTTGCCATAGTCAACAGAGAGCCGCTCCATCAGGAGCGAGGTAAAGCCGGAGCCGGTGCCACCCCCAAAGCTGTGGAAGACCAGGAAGCCCTGAAGTCCTGTGCACTGGTCAGACTGAAAGGCAAGAAAAAGAAAGAGCAATGTAGGTGGGGGAGGGGCCTGAGGCACTCTATATTCTGGCTCCACAAAAGCCTAAAATATCTCAGGAGCCAGGGCAAAGATAAATGAATACCCCATAGCACATTCCGGAACATGTACAAAGAGCGATGACCCCTGAAATGGATCTGAAAAAAAGTTCCTGACTATTAACATCGTCTCAAAAGCTCCCTCCCTTCCATGCCAGACCCTTACCAGCTTGCGGATCCGGTCCAGGACTGGGTCAATGATCTCCTTGCCAATGGTGTAGTGACCACGGGCATAGTTGTTTGCAGCATCCTCTTTCCCAGTGATGAGCTGCTCTGGGTGGAAGAGCTGCCGATATGGGCCATTTCGGATCTCATCTGGAAGGGAATAAACCACATCGTTAAGGCCCAAACCACAAGGCTGTGCTCAGCAGGGACCTCCCTCCCTCAATGTGGTGGCTGCAGTCAGATGTGTGGAAGAGTTCATCCTTCTGCCAGACTGAGATACCAGTATGTGAGACACCCAGACTTGCTGCCCAGGCCAGGCTGCGATTAGCTTGCCTTGTTTAGATTCAAACCGGATGAAGAGTTTTCAGGGCCAGGAAAGTCAGGTCTAGACACCCCCTCTCCAGAGAGAAGCTTAGAGTCACTCTCCACTCCACTCAATTCCACCCCCTTCCTCTCACCAATTACAGTGGGCTCCAAATCCACAAAAACTGCCCGGGGCACGTGCTTTCCAGCGCCGGTTTCACAGAAGAAGGTGGTAAAGGAGTCATCCCCTCCACCAATGGTCTTGTCACTGGGCATCTGTCCATCAGGCTGAATCCCATGTTCCAGACAGTAGAGCTCCCAGCAGGCATTGCCCATCTGGACACCTGCCTGCCCCACATGGACTGAGATGCATTCACGCTGAGGGATAAAGAGAAGGGAGAGCATAAGCCCACATCTGTAGGTCCTCCCCTCATAAGCCTTTCTCCCACCCTATCACCTATCAGCTAGGATGACTCAGTTGGCAAAAGTGGAGGCTTGGGGCTGGACAGAGGTCAGAACGGGCTGGGAGCTTGCCCAGGCTCTCCTGCATAGGACTCCCCAACCGGGGGCACCCAGTAGGGCAAGCCAGCCCCTTAGCCTACTTCTCCATAGGGACCTTGTCAAGTAAGAGCTGTGGCTCCACATGACTCTGTCACATTCATAGGACATTCAGGGAGGATGGAGAGGGCAAGTGCCTATGAGACAGACAAGACGCTGCAATAACTGAGACAAAAACGAGACTTTTCAGCTGTTCCTGATTCCTACTCCCACAAACCCAGCTTCTCAAGAGCCTGAGAAGGGCCAGAAGGTTTTCCAGAGCTGTGAGTTTATAACTAGCCCCCCCCACACAAACACTCAATTAACTCTTTGTTTTGCGTATGAACTAGAATTTCGTACAACCCTCTCCCCTTTTCTTTCCTGTGGGCTGCAAAGTTGTTTCAGCCTTCCGGCTTGGCGTCCACCGTCCACACTGCCATCGGGACGCCCTCTCCCCCACCTTTAAATCCCATCTGGCTCTAGGGATCAATCCCATCTGTCTCCTCTCCCCACCTCCACCCCCGCACTCTGCATGTCTTTACCACCTTCATCCAAGGCGACAGCCCTCAGGGAACTAGCAGAGGTAATGCTAGTGAGCGCAGAGGGCAGGTGCAGGCAAAAGGGTTGTGAGCACGGGGGCATTCGCTGCCCTAGGCTCGTCCCTGCCAGTATGAAAGTAACCCCTGAAGCGCCAAAGTGGTGCGGCGCCGGGCCCGCGCAGCCTCCCTTCCCAACACCGAAATGGCGGGGTGACGGTTTCCAAATACTACTCGGAAAAGGAAGCGGAACCTGTGGTGAGGCCCTAGAGGTAATCGGCCTTGCCCCCGGCAGGATGAGCGCCATCCTGTACTCCGGCCTTGTATTCGCCGCCCCCACCCCCCGCCCCTTGGAGATTCTTTCCAGTTACATCCCAGCGGAAAGCGAAGATTGGATTTCGGCCCCCGTTCTTGGGCTATAAATATCACCCCCCTACACACACCTCTTCCCCCTCCCCCCAACCTGGCCTCGGCCCGCGCTCCCGCTCAGTGACAGCTGTCTCTGCCCGTCCGCGCACCGGGCTCAGGCTGGAGACGGCCTGGCTCGCCTCACGAGACCGAACCCCATTCCCGCCACCCCTTCAGGCTCAGAAGCGGGGTGCTGAGTCACGGGGAGGGGTTGTGGATAGGAGGGATGCACACACAGTTGGAGGAAAAAGGGATGCTGAATCAAGTAACCTGATCCCCTTCCACCTTCTTGCGCCAAGCACGTGTTCGGTCAGTTCCAGGGACCGGGTAGGGGGGAGGATAGGGGCAGTGGGCAGCCAACCGGGTCTCCCACGCTCGCGAGAAGGGCTGGGCGCGGGACCGCAAAACTCCCCTAAGGAGGGTTAGGGCACAAATGCTTGATGGAGCGGGAGGGAATTTCCAGGACTCCTCTCTGCTAGTGAAGAATCCCACTCCACCCCTCCCCCCTTCCCCAGCCTTTCAAAGTGGACAACACGGCTCGGCCAAAGTCACTAGGACGGGGTGGGGGTGGGAGGAATTCAAACACCCTTGCTCCTCCTGGAGACCTGGTACGCCAGATAGAGGGCCCCGAACATCCCGAAAGGAAGCGTCCCGAAAGAGAGGGCAATTAGTGCATGGGGCCGCACTCACCATGGTGAGTCCGGGCGGTGGGTCTCACTTAGAGTCCGGGTGACGGGTCTCAGTGAGAAGTGCGCTAGCTGCAGTGCCGCACTGCGCTTATATAAGGGGGGGCGGGGCCGCGTGCTAGGTTCGCCCACTAGAAGCTGGGCAGCCTGAAGGCCACGCCTTCCGACGGGTAGGCGGCCCCGACGGGTGGGGCCAGAGAGGATACCTTCCCTGCGTAGTGCCAGGGTCCCTCACCTGTCGGACGTGCGTTAGGAGTGGCAACCCGGGCTTTAACCCTTCGCTCCTGGTTTCGAACCCACACTTTGGGATCTCGAGCGCTGCTACAGCGACACAGGACGCGGTGTGAGGGCGCGTCTCGCCTGCACCTGCGTCATGGGGTCGCCGGTAGCTCAGGTTTTCTGACTTAGGCCGGGTGCCATAGAGACTGTCCTTCCGAGGTGGCTGCACCGGACCTTCGCCCGTGCCCTCCGTGTCCCGCCTCCCTGGAGGCTCCAACTGACTGTCTGGCTCCGGCCAGTCCCGAAGGAACCCTTTGCCCCTGCACGCCGCCTGCTGGTCCCCGGCTGGGATGGCTGGCCTCCGCCAACTCCTGCGGGCGGCCGAGGACCGGATGCTGCACAGCTTGAGCCCCAGGGTGCCGATCCCTTAGACTGCCCCTCAGAGCTGAGCCCCGCAGCCTGTCTGCGAGGGCCGACCCCGAGAAACTGCCACGGCTTGGCCGCTGCCCGCGGGTCAGTGGCCTCGTCATCAGCGCCGTCACTATTAGCGAGCCCTTGCCACGGCCACCTGCTCGCTTTCCTGCTGCCAGAACCGCGGGAGCTCTGGACTGAAGCCCTTGGGACCTTGATTCACATCCTGACTGCCCTGTGTGACCTTGGGCAGGTGACTTAACCTCACTGAGTCCTTGGCATCGGTGAAAAGGAGACAGTAATTCCAACCTGAAAACACTGTTGTGAGGTATCAAAATGTTTGTTGACACTGAAGAGGAAAAAAGAAAATGGAGATTCTGATATCGTGGCTGATTTTGGCGTTCCCATCCTCTTCTGTCCCTAAGCCATGGGCAGGGTCAGCGACCTGTGTCTTAACACCCTCAGTGCCCAGGTGGAGGCCTCAGCAGAAGCTATTCTTTCTATGTTTCGTTTCCATTTCTTGCAAGAATGGGCTTTTCAATCTATTTCTGCTTTTCTTTACGTGCCTTCCATTTTCCAGCTGTCTCCCTTCACTGGGGGAATTCATTAGGAAGTGCTTCATGTACCACTGGCACACCTTTAAGAAGCCTGTCTCCTGGGCTAGTCACTTGGAAAGGATTTACCTGCCTTTCCTACCATAGTGTTTCCTAGGGCAGGGGCTGTCTGACAACACAACACAGTAGGATAAAATAACTAGTAAGGCAACTTTCTATCAACAAAGTAGCTAATTGACACCTTACTTAGGCAAGGCATGGAAAGAAATACAGTGAAATATGACAAGGTCTTCTTTCCCAGTGGACTTGCCATCTGGTTGGGAGAACAAGACTCATTCATAAAAAAGAAAACTGACAAGAGCATAGAGTGAGGCTGCTTTGGAAAATGGGGTCATGGTCTCTGCAGAGCAAGAACCCTTGGTGATTACAGAACACATGGCCTCTTGCAGACCTTCCCTTGGCTCTCTTTTTCCCTTGTGCACCTCCACCCCAGCAGAATGAATATCGTAAGAGATTTTAGCTATCTTAGGCAAAACCCTAAAACCCTTTGACCTCCAGGTTCAGGTACATTTGTGAAACTGGGATAACTTCAGATTGTGAGGACTTAGATGAATTTAAGGATCGTACAGATGCAGCAAAGCACTGTGTAAGCAACTGTCTGGATTCTTAGAGAATTTTATTCATTTATTTTAGTGTGAGCAGCACATCATGCTGCATTTATTTGTTTACATGTCCATCTTACTAGATAGCAAATTTGTTGAAGGTAATTGTCTTATTCATCTTTGTGTCCCTAGATTCCAGCATGGTGCTTAGCACACGGTAGGCATTTGCTACGTGTGTGTCAGATGAATTGTTTCACTTCAGAGAAGGGACTAAAATTAGGGTAGAAGTCTAAGAAGCCAGAAATTACAAATCGGTGGCCTGGAGGCCAAATTCCCTCTCAGAAACATTTTGTTTGGCCTTCACAGTGTTAAACCTTGTAGCATTTAGAATATGAAAAAAAAAATCAGAAACTGTCTTTGTGTTGGGGCATTCCCAAGACCACCCCATGTTAGATTAGCTAGATGGACTCAAAGGACTCAGCATAAAGTTGTACTCACTACTGTTTATTACAGCAGTGTAGGAAGGATACACCACTGGATTGTAAAGGGAAAAGGCACAAGGGGAGTCTGGAGGAATATATGCCCCCTCCCTCCCATAAGGGCTCACAGAATGAAAATGGAGCAACGTTTCCCTGCAGTGTTTCTGCCAAAGGAAGTCCGTTAGACACTCAGTACCCAAGGTGTTTATTGGGGGCTGGCCACATAGGCACCTCTGCCTTGCACATACCCAAATTCCAGACTCCCAAAAGAAAAGTAAGTGATCAGCATACGAGTAAACCATATTATTTACACCAACAGTCTAGGCGCAATGAACCATCACCGTTTGTTAACTGTTGATTGGGAACACTCCAAAAGCCAACCTTGCAAGCAGGCCTTTCTAAGGAGAGCAATCTCAGGCCTGCTATGTTAACTCTTTTCTGCACAGTCATATAAAAATGCAGATTTCTAGCTTTTACTGAAAAAAACTGGAAGGTCTGGCCATAGTAGGCCTGCATTCCCACTTAGCAACAGTGGTAGGTGGAATAATAGCACACCCCACCCCCAAAAAATGTCCACATATGTAACATTTCTAGGGTTATTCAAATAGGAACAGAATTAGAGTATATGCATTCCCAAACCATAGTGAAAGAAAGGAATAACGAGAAAGAAATATGCTGATAAATCTCAAATTTGTATCTCCATTTTGGACCTCTCCCCTGAACTTCAGACTCACACGACCATTTGGCTTCTTGACATCTCCACTTGAACGCTTGTCAGACATCTCAAACATAACGCATTCAAAGTGGCGCTCTCTATGTCCTACCCTTACCCCACTCACTGCCAACCCTGCTTCTGTCCTAGGCATCTGAGTCTAAACAGTATCACCTCCCAACCACATGCTGAAGTTAAAAACCTAGGGTCATCCTGCATTCCTCTCTTTCCCTCTCTCCTTCCCCTTTTATTAATTAGAAGGGTTTTTTTTTACTGCTGCAAATAATGAAAAGCCTAACTAATAGTGGCTTAAACAATGAGAATATTTATTATCCCATGACAAATCTGAGGGCAGTTCCAGGCTTGATTTAGTGATGTCACCAATAACTCTGGTATTTCCAGCTTTCTGCTCTGGCATCCTCAGTGGGCTGGTGACATCTTCCCTCATAATCACAAGATGGCTGCAGCGGCTCCACGTACCATATCTTCATATGACACTGTCCTAAGGCAGGAAAAGGGGGTTTCCTCCCACATCTATTTATCGGAGAGAAAAACCTTTCCTTAAAGCAGACTTCCCCTTATATCTCACTAACCCCATGCCTAACCCAGTCACTAGAAGGAGAGAATGGAATTACTATGAATGTTTTAGACTATGTTATAACCAGAGGCCTGAGGAAAGGCTATCTTCCTTGAGCAAGTGGGTGAGTAATTAAACAAAATCAGGACCCTGCCAGCGAAGAAGTGGAGGTAGGGGCAGGTAAGGCTGTTGGGTCACATGCCGCACCCCACATTAGCATGTCCCATTACTTGGAATCCAGCTACTTCCCATCATCCTACTAAAGTCCAAGCCCCCATCCCCTCATTTCTTGATGTCTACAGTAGCCTCCTAACCAACTTCCTGCTTCCACTCTCGAACCCCTATAATGCATTCTCCACACAGCAGCTGCAATACTCTCTCTAAAACACAAAGTAAGCCATCATGCTTGCTTAAGCTCCACCCCCCACGCCCCATTGTACTTGTAATAAAAGCCATTCTCCTCCCAAGGCTTCTTCACCTCTGTGGTCTCATATAGCTCCTCCCTTACTCTGTTTCCTTGAACACACGGGACTTGCTTCACCGGAAGAACCTTTGCACTCTCTAGTCTCTCTTCCTGGATTGCTCTTATCCAGATCTTGCCATGGCTGACTCCTTTTCATTCAGTCTCAGTTCAAATATTGCCTTTTTAGAGAGCTGCTCCCTCTCAGTTTTAGCCCCCCCACCTCCCATCTCTTTCTGTGCCATTATCCTGTTTTGTTTTCTTCACGTGCTTATTGCTATCTGAAGTTGTCTCCTGTATTTGTTATGTGTCTCCTTATGAAAATGTCAGCTCCTTAAGAGCATACACTTTTTTGTCCACCGCTATATCCCTGGTACCTGGAACAGTATTTGGCACATAGCAGATGCTCAATAAATATTTGTCACGGGAATTAAGAGTATTAACTGCCCCTCATTTTATAACGTAGATACATTAATATGCTTTTAAAATCTCAGTCTTTCTATTCCATTTTACATAAGAGTCCTCCCCCCACCTGCCTTTAGGATAATTTTCTTTTCAGAGTTGGTGATGTCTAGGTTGACTCTGAGATGCCCAATGTTGAAGGCCAGTTGGGAGAAGTTGAAATGCTAGACGAGTTTTGGGCCCAGTGAGCCCCTGGGCCCCAAATCCCTCCATCTGGATAATAATCTTCAGGATGATAATTCCTGAGGTCTATGACTCCAACTCATGGATCAACCCAGTGGATGCCTGGGCTTCCTTATCTTTGAAGTGGAGGTTGGCTGTGTCTTTTATCTGAGGATCTTGGCCTCTTACTTCCAGATAGGAGAGAAAAGACTAGTCCACAGCCAAAAACCAGAGTTAACCATCTTGATGCTCTGGGTCACTCCCTAGTATACTGTGATGAAAAGGCTCTGAAAAAAACCCTACCTCAAAAGAACCCCCGCCATTTGCCACAGTGACTGAAATTTCACATTAGCAACTACTTCCTGGATAGGGTTTCTAGGTAAAATTCTTTTATGTGCTACATCTGGCATTTCTATTCTGGGTCATGGTTGCTATCTGAAAGAGTTACAGGAGAGATGTAATGTGGTTTCC